GAGGTCCCGAACAGTGACGGGGTTGGTTGGATGCTCCTGTCGGGACGCACCCCTGCTCTCCCTGATCTGTATGAGCCTGCGCATCTGTAGTTCACAGCTCTGCCCTCCAGCCCTCAGGTGATGGATTCCACCTTGAAGGAGTGAGCAGCTAATGGTAGGAGAAGCCAACTCACTCAGGCCTGGAGCCAGCCGGTACCGTGCTGGCATCGTGTCAGCAAACCAAGCAAATGCCTCCTGAAATGACTGCGAGGCCCCAGACGCCCACCCCTCCTCAATCCTGCGTGGATACACAAAGCTCCTTCACTTGCGTGTCATTCTGTTTGCATACGACGTGTGACCCCCCTCTGCATGCATGGACCTCCCCTGCTCCCTCATGCTGGTCTCCTTCTCATGGAGCCAGGGAGCAGGGCATGGAGATGGGGCTGTGGACTGCAGGGAGAGATGATGGCGAAGGAGGCCTGGGACAGACTTGGTCTGTGGTAGGGGTTGAATTGTGTCCCCCCAAAGATATGTTGAAGTCCTAATCCCCAGCACCTGTGAGTGTGACCTTATTTGGGAGCAGGGCTTTTCCAGAAGTAGTCAAGTTAAGATGAGGTCATTAGGGTGCCCTTAATCCGCTGTGACTGGAGTCCTTACGCAGGGTGAAGAGACAGAGACACACAGACAGAAGGCCATGTGGCGGCAGCGGCTGGGAGATGCTGCTGGAGAGGCCAGGAGGAGCCTCCCTGGAGGCCTGGGAGGGTGTGTGGCCCTGCCCACCCCTGGACTTCAGACTTGTAGCTTCTAGAACTGACAGAGAACAGCTTTCTGCTGTTTACAGTTTGTGGTGCTTTGCTGTGGTGCCCCTGGAAAGATGATACAGCCTTTCCCCCTCATTCCTTAAAACAGAGCCATCATTATGATTACCGTTATCATATATTGAAGGAATGTGTATTTAATAGCCACAGAATAAACTGTGGGACAAGAAAAGACCACTCATCTGAGGTCCACAGCAGGGGCTGACTGGCCAGCAGCCTGCAGGACCAGGTAGACAAAGCTAAATGGCCTGGAGCTCCACACGTATGTGCATGCTTAGAAATAAACAGGCTTGAGGTAGACGGCCTATGTGGATGGCCAGGAAGGGGCAAACAACCATAAAGGAGAAGAGAAGAGTGTGTGAGCCTGTAAATCGCAGATGCAAGAGCCCTGGACGAGTAGGGGAGCCGGAAATAAAAGGCAGGCTCCAGCTCCTGCTCACAGAAGTTAAAGCAGGAAATAGAAGCTTGAGCCTTGCTGCGGGAGCCTGCTGACCAAAGGCCACAGAGGCAGCCTGCTGGGAAGGAGGAGGGCCTGAGGGAGATGCCAGGGCCTCTGCCACCCCCTCGAGCAACAGGGCGAGAGCAAGCCACCTGTCAGGAGTTTGGTGTCTGGGTTTAGGACAATTACAGAAACTGAGATCAAAGGGTCTGCATCCCAAAGTGACATTACAAGTGGCTCAGGAACCCCCGTCACCTTGGTGACATGGCAGCCAGAGCCATGGTACCCATAGCCTGCAGCTGGTATGTGCTAACAGCTCTGGGCTGCAGAACAAAGCTGAAATGGGAGCTCGGCTGGTGGCCGAAATGTGGGCAGCAAACCAGGAGGGGCCCACATGACAGTGGAACCAGTGGCTTGGTTGGGATCATAGGAGAATTTTCCAAAGTCCCAGGGTTTGTCTGAACTTGATGAGAGGTAAACATCGAACAAAGCACAGGAACCAAGGAGGGCGTATGACCTGGTCATGGAATGTCAGTGATGGAGGCTCCGCCCAGAGAGCACAGACTCACCGTCTCTCAAGGGCTGGCATTTCCATGCGGAGGAGACTCCGGCAGATGTCCTTCCACTCAAGGGAGGATCAGCTTAGGGCCTTCTCATTTACTTTGCTTCTACTCTTTAGCCAAAGTAAGGCCTCCTTTTATCTTCCCACTTGGAAAATGATATTATTCATGCTAATTCTAAAATGAAAATGGGTAGATTTGAGTTATGACAAAAATCCTTCTAAATCAAAACTTCCTGTGTCATAAAGATTTCCATGTCTGAGTGACAATCTGCATCAAGTGATGCCAGGACACCAAAATCCTTCTATAAACTAAGAGTGGGAACTGTTTTCTGGGGCTCACTACAACACCCATATCAAGTAAAACCAACACATGTGGACTTAGTGGTGATCATGATACAGAGAAAAAACATTTAAAACCATATGGACATATGTGATTATTTGGGATTAAAAATCACAGTATTATAAAACCCAAGTAACAGGAATTCAGTGAGATAGAAAGAAGGTGTGTGAACAATACCAGAATGACCGCAGGGCTGAGGGAGGCGGGGCTGACACTGTCTAGCTTCTTGATATTGGCCAAAATATGTAAGTGATGAAACGTCTATTTTAACTCTAAAATGGGGATCTTTCTTCCTTACAGGGCTGTTGTAGTGAAGTTACCCCACACAGAGCTCAGCACACAGTAACCACAGAGGTGGCATGTAATAATAATGTGGTGACACATGACAACAGTTCAATGTGGAAAACATATGAAGGATCCTCACGAATCTCCAAACATGTAAGAGTCCCTAAAATATGGTCCAAAGACTTCACAGTTCACAGAAGTGGAAATAACAGTAAACGAATGAAATCAGTGACTGTTAAAGGGAAAAGAAACAACTTGGTTCACTATCTAAACACACTACTCAGATCATCAAGTGCAAATACCGAATGCCAATAGAACAGGTGTGACGCTGCTGAGACTGTAAGTAAGTAGGAATACCCAGGAATTCCTGGCGGAAGTGCAAATTTGATTATTTTGGAAGGCAGTTAGGTAATTGTCATCAAGAGACATAACATTTTACACTTTGACCCCATAATTCTGTCCCTGAGAATGAAATAATTCAAATTAAGAGGAAGCTATACTTACAATGAGGCACGGAGGAAGGATTACAAGAATTAAAAAAAATCTAATATTATGGCAGTCGTCACTTTTTCATAGAATACTAACTTCATAACACATTACACGGTGATTAAAACTGACATTGTATACAAAATAGATATTATCTAAAATAATATCAAGTAGTACGCAACATATTGAATTGCCAATATTTAAAAAATAACATATATAAGTATGTGTGGATACAGATCAGAGGAAGCTATAAAGAAATGCAGTTCATCTTATGTTAGTAGAAGGAATTTAGATATAACAATCTGTGTATTGTTTTATTAACAAATATATTTCAAAATGTATGATTATCTCAATTTCTCCATATTACCTGTCATGAATCTGTGACCCCTCATGATTTTGTTTAGTAATGACCAATATTAGGGTATAGAAATCGAAGTCAGGGATTCAGCTGAGACACACTTGAACTATGTCCTCTTTGGGGAATTTACTGGTTCAATTTAAACACACTGCCTGAGTATCTGTCTGTGTCTCCCTAAAGAAAACTTCATTCTCCAAGATTCAAACCTGCTTCCTGGTACTTTCTTTCACATTATTATAGAAGTCCAACCTTTTAATCTGCTTAGTCATTCTTTATTTTACTTATACCTCCTCAAAACAGTTTCAAAAGTCACTGGATTTTTCAATCGGAGAAGGAAAAGTTAATTAGGAAAGTACCAAATAACTAAATAATATTATATGTGATGGAACTAGCCAGATAGGAATGTTCAGCCATTCACCTCTCGTGGTTTTTGAGGAACCTTCTAAATTTTATAAATGAGGAAAACACGCTCTCAAAGCTCAGAATCAGGCCCTACATATGCATGTGAAGAGAAGCTGTTTCTGTCTCAGAGTTCTAGTTACACAGCCATGCCTACACGCTTTGTCTGCAGAATTCATGCAGTCGTCAAAAGGACTCAGCACAAACCCGGCAGTGGGCCTGCCAGTGGCTTAGCTGTAGCCATGGCTGCACACGCTTCTGACCTGTGAAAAACGCAGGCCTTTTTCTGGGTTTGGAATGTCTGTTGCCCACGCCTTCTGCCTGCCTCTCCTCCCCCTGGAATCTTGTCGTGTTCTTACCTTCAACCCGGTTTCCCACACCCCAGATCCTCTAGGTCCATGTGACCCCCGCTGCCATTGTGGGCTGGCCCTTCCTGCTTTTCACAGCTGCTATGGGGATCTCCACCTGGCCGGCTTCTATACAGCTGACAGGCACCTGTGTGTCCCCTCCCAGCCGAACGCCTGCCTCTCCAGGGGGGAGCTGGGCTCATTCTTGGTGCTGACATGGGCCCATAGGCCCTCAGAGACCTTAATGTTCAGTCCATGGGAGACTTCAGGGGGCTCTGAGGTCCCTGAAATCGTGGGTGAAGTTTGTGCACCTGTTGGGGGCAGGCTCTGTTGTGGCCTCCCAATGGTGGTCCCAGTAAACCCCTTGGGGTTTAGGCAAATCCTGGAGGTCTCCTTCCTCTTGCTGACCATTGGGTTAAGCTTTGGCGTGACTTCCAGACCACTGGGCTCCTAGGGGAGGCTGGCTGGGAACTTCTGGGAAAGAGGGTCCTCACTCACCAGGGGAGGCACAATCGGGGTGCTCCTCCTCCTCCTCAGGTTCCCTCGGACCCACAGGGCACCCAGAGGGCAGACCTTCCACCCGGCAGGACCACACGCCTGGCTGGTGTGACAGAGGCAGGGTGGGAAGCCGGGAGGCACTGGGGCCTCCAGGAGGACCATGCGTGGCCTTCACCAGCCCTGACTAGTTGACCTCAATCTGGAAGGTGTGGGGCTGGGGGAGCTGCGTGCCGCCTGGTGCGGGGCCTATGCACGCTTTCCTTCCCTCTCAGCCCCTCTCCTTTCCTTACGTTCCCCACTCCCAGGCAGATTACACTGGCGGCTCTGGCTTCACCATGGTTGTGGCCTGTGCCTAGTCTGAGGGGACCCTCCCTTCTCGGCCCCCTGGAACGATGGATCGCTCCCCCCAGGCCCTGGACCTAGGAGCTGCGGGTGGGGGCCCCACGCAGATGGCGCTCTTGGCTCAACCCAGGTGGCTGAGGGACGTACCTTTCTCCCGGCCTTTCTTTTGGGAAAGGAAGTCTTTGGAAGTTTGTAGCAACTGAACAAATCTTGTCACTTTGATAAGCAGGGTCCCGTTTCGCTGCCTCTGTGGAGAAAGCTCCACACTTCCTCTGATTGTTTCAGTTTATTGAATTTCAGTGTGTGAGACATGATCACCTCATTCCTGGGGAGTGGGGACAGGAAGCAGGGTTGGCCTGGCGTTCCAGGCGGCGCGTGAGCGGCCACACAGGCCGGTTATTCTGGGAAGTTATTTTGAGATGCTGGCCCATCGGCTCAGGTTTCCGGGCCCAGCCTCAGGGCCACGTGATACCAGGCCTAGGCAGCTCATTATAATAATAGAGTCAAGCTCACTGGAGGCGGTGGCCCTCTGAGGGCATCGGGGTCACGCTGGCTCCCCGAACTTTGTCTCCCCCAGACTCCCTGGGTGCCACCCAAGGGAGAGAGCAGAGCCGGGGCTGGGGGAGCAGAGAAGGTGGGCAGGAGGTCAGAGATGCACTGCCTTGGGGGCTCCCCAGGACCCAGACCTGCCCCCCGCTGCCCAGGGAGAGTGGGACTCTCAGGAGACTGGCTCCTGAGATCCAGTCGGCGGAGCTGGGGGGCCGCCTGCAGCTCAGTGCAGGGGAGAATGTTCCTGGGTCTGAGGCTGGTGAGGTGGAACCGCCGCGCCCTGAAGTAGGAGCCCCTGCCTCCTGAGAGCTCACCGGCTTCTGTCAGGGGCCTCCCACCCAGGCCCCACATTTGCTGTTTAAAATGTTCAATTTAAGTAATTTCTTATTATTGTGGACTGTAGCAACAAAGTGCCACAAACCCAATGGGTTAGACGACCGCGAATCATCGCCTCCCAGCTCTGAAGGCTGCAAGCTGAAGACCAGGGGGTCCACAGGGCTGTGCCTGCTGAGCCTCTGGGGGAGCATCTGTCCCAGGCCCCCCAGCCCTGGGGGTTTACTGGAGATCTCTGGCATCCTGAGCTTGTGGGACCCTGACTCAAGTCTCTGCCTTCACCTTCACCCAGTGTTCTGCGTGCAAATTTCCCCTTTGTTGAGGACACCAGTGATACTGGACTAGGGCCACCCCACTCCAGTATGATGTCACCCTAACTTAACGACACCTTCAGTGACCCTGTTTCCCAGCAACATTCTCAGTTACTGAGAATTAGGATGTCACATGAATTTGGGGGGACACAATTAAACCCATAACAGAGGTAGGACGTGATTTAGAAAACAGAGACAAGTAAAGAAGAATTTTAAATTTCCTAATTTCTACCATTTATAGATTACCATTATGAATATATATCCCTGTAAGAATACACTTCTTAGAGTACATCCTTCTGAATAAAAAAGTATCTTAAAATGAGCCAAAATGTATATTCTGTCCTGTACTTGCTTTATTCAATGATCTCTACCTTTCCAATTCACTAAATTCTTCTTGTCTAACACCCAGTCTATGTTCAAGCTGTGTGTCATGCCCATAGCTTTGCCCAGACCAACAGTGAGTCCGTCGCTATTCACTCTAACTGATCGCTACGCCCACGAAGTCTCTTCAGCTGACTACAGTCCCCCTTTTATGACACCAACTGATTGTGGGCCAGTTATGGGGCACAGGAGCCCCTCCTGGATTCGTCCAGTTGCTTCTTTGGGATGTTGTGTATTTTAGCTTGCTGCTCTGTCCCGGTGGTGCCTGTAAACTGTGGCTCGTGTTAGATGTCTGATGGACTCCCGTTGAACAGTTTGGGATAGAAAGCCTTGCAAGCACTTCTAAGTGCCTCATGTCAGAAGACATGAAACGTATGGTTGGCCCACGTCAGGCCTGCTGAGTCTGGGGATGGTGCCCAGGGGGTCCTGCACTGGGTGGGACGAGGAATCCGATAACCTCGAATACTCCTTGCAACACTCAGGTTTTTGCAATTTGTAAGTTTCTGATAGTTGTGACAGGAGCTCACCCCTTCTGGTGGCAGCTGGTACTGGGAGCGGGCGGAGGGCGGTCTGTGAGCCACCCTGATCACTGCCCTTTGGGGAGAGCATCGGTCCCAGACGTCCAGGTGCAAGAGATCTTCCCTTGGATCCCTGACCTGTGTCGGTGAAGTCGGGGGGTGAGGGTGTGCTTTCCCACCCGATCTGTGCCTCCAGAACAGTCCATGGCACCTACAGCTGCCAGGCAGGTGTTCTCCATCTTCCTCCTGCACCATTTCCAGGAAGGTCTCTAGCTTGCTCTCTAACAACTTACAGTGTTGTTGTTTTTTTTCTTTAGAGGAACAATTTACAATTTTATGCATATATTTGCAATTTACGTGACAGATGCATACACTTGGGTAACGCAAGTTATCCAGACACAGAACATTTCTCTCAGCCATAAAGGTTCCTCATGTCCCCATTTCGATCATTCCTGGCCCACCCAGGGACCACCGTTTCAGCTCTTTCCACCTAGATTATTTTGCTTGTTCTAGAACTTTGTGTAAATGGAATCGACGGCTTGTTCTCTATTAGTCATTTCATGCATGGCGGTGTCATTTGTTCACGGCCATTTTCCTGGGTGGTGCTGCTTTATATGAACACACACTGGTTTGTCCCTTCTCCTGTGGACGGACATGTTGGCTGTTTCCAGTTCTTTGCTACTATAAATACAGATCTAGTAACATTCTTGTACAAGTAATTTTGTGTACAAGTATCATTTTCTTGGGGGTAAATACCCAGGAGTGAAATCAGTAGGTCAAACTGGAAGTGGTTGTAGAATTCTATGCCTCCTAACAACAGCGTATGGGAGTTCTGGGCTATCAACCTGTTCTTTTTTGCCATTCCGGTCGGTGTGTAGTGTATCTCAGTGTGGCTGTAATTTGCATGACTTGCGATAATGAGAAACTTGTGCATACTTATTGGCCATTTTGACATATACTCTTTTTAAAATGTATTTCTTCTTTCTTCTTTAATAAGCACTCCACCTTTTGTTGAACTTACGCAAACAGGCATTCGACACATGAATTGGAATTCTCGTTCATCCTTCAGTGAAGACTATCCAAGATCCGTGGGCAGGACATGGTCAGTGAGCAGCAGCAAAGCCATGTTTTCGTCTTGTTGCTCCCAATTCCCACCCCCTGGGTTTCTGGTAAGTTCCACGCCAGCAGATATGGAGTTTAGTAGGCCAGGTGCTGCTGGCTAGGACTGTGTGTACGATGTTCTCAAAGAGGGTTCTGATGCAGCAGGGGACGGGCAGGAGGCCCCCTACAGGCTTTGGCGGGAGGGGCTTGAACAGACGTGGGGGAGGGGTGCAGGGGGGAGACACCGCCTCAGGGCCCGCTCTCCCCAGGCGCCAGGCAGTGCGGGGACAGCCTCCAGCAGAGATTAACGTTCGCTGCCTCCCTTGGCACGGGCCCCCCTGAGCCCGGTGCTTCACGGGACAACTGCTTGGAGCCGCCGGGCACCTACGTGGGGTGCATGCCGCCGGCGCCTCCTCCCCCTGCTCTGCTGGCAACGGAGACTCGGCCTCTACCTTGTCCTTGCTTTGTACCCCCTTGTCTGCCCTCTCCAGCTGCGCACCCGCCCCGGGGGCTCCTCCGTCCCCCCTTGATGTAAGCAGCCGCAGTGCATTGTGAGAACTGGTACTCCAGTGCCCAGCTTCTGCGGACCTACAAGCTGCCCAGGAATTTCAGTGGAAGGAAGAGCAGCAGGGGCAGTGGCAGTTGGGCAGGTCGAGGGTGGAGCGACACGTGGACAGTGGGAGTGTGGGGGCGGCTGCAGCCTGAGAGTCTGACCCCCTCGCCACGGGAGGGAAGTGAGACGGTGACCCTCCAGCCCCTGGGAGTGCCCCCCTTACCCCCCCTGCAGCTGTGGAACTTGTCTGGAGAGAGAAATGACTGGCAAACGAACAGATGTTTTGAGGCTGTGAACTTTTGATCCAGAGAGCTCTCCTGCAACAGATGTGTGTCTCACAGGGTGGGCACCTCCTCCTGGCCTTCTCACCCGTCACAGGCTCGAACCGTTGCCGTCTTCCTTGGGAAATAGCTGCTGTCACCCCACCTCACCTGAACATGAAACGGCCCCCAAAGGCAGCAGTTCCAGCCTTTTGAGATTTACAGAGGAAGGAGCTGGATGATCCAGGGCCCACCAGCAGGAGGGACACACGTGGTGTGCCTCGCCGAGGGAGCGCTGAGGCTGGGCACAGCCTCCGGGGTGTGCAGGAGGCAGGCCAAGGAGGATTACAGGGAAGGGGAGAGGAAAGGCCAGTGCGTAAGCTGGTGCAGCTCAAGCAAAGACAAAGCAGCCTCCGCATGACAGCGCCCGCGACTGTGACCACCATGGCAAGCCCCCCTTCCAGCAGGGAGGAGCCTTGAGAAAGTGCACTCCGGCCGGTTCAGACTCAGTGAAAGCTGTGCTGGATTGGCTCAGGGAGCTTGGGAGGGCTGCTGCCTGGCACAAGGTGCGCTGGGCTCCTGAGTACCCCAGATGGTGCACTCTCGGGCCCCAGCAGACCATCTCGGCCAAGTCCCATTTCCTCCCTGAGAAAAGTTTTAGCCCAGTGAGGGATGCAGGGACCACAGCATCTTTGGGGGACAAGCTCTTTGGCTGCAGTGGCCCATATGGGAGCCACTGAGACTACATTTATCATCCCCCAGATTCGTGGAGGGGCCTGGACGGGCTGCAGAGGGTAGTAGCTCATTATTCCCTAACCTCTGTTGTGATGGATCAGAATCCCAGAGTCTAATGTTCAGGACCCTGAGGCCACGTCTAGCCCTATCTCCTCATTTTACGGACGGGAAAACTGGGGCCTCAAGGATTTAAGTTATGTGGCCAAGAGCTCCCAGCTGCTAGCTGGCAGAGCCCAGCCTGCACGTGACCCCCTGAATCCAGCCCAGAGTAGCCCACCAGCCCTGGAAGGGACAAGGACATTGAGATGAGAATGGAGGGAAGCTTCTGACTCACTGAGGGGTGCTGTCCTGGTGTGAACCCCACCGGGCGGTCCTGCCTGGGTTGCGGGTGGAAGGCGCCAGGAAGGGACTTAGGGAGGGAGCAGGTGGGCCTTTGTCCAAACGACTCTTCAGTTTCCTTTCACTATCTGGAGTTCCAGGATGTTGGGGTGGTGAGAGGTTTCCAGTTCCTGGGGGCACCTTCCCACCCAGTGTGTGAAGCCCCTCTGGACGGTCTCTGATGGTCACTGGCCCTTCCTGAAGCTTCCAAAGAGAAAGGAATTCTCTTGCACCTGAGGCAGCCAGGCAGCATCCAGTCC